TGTTTTGAGAAGCAAAAGTGGATCAGTTTGACTAAAGAAAGCTGGATAACAAAAAGGGAAAGCTGAGAAGAGGGATCAGGACAACAGGAGGTAGGTCTGGGAAAGCTGGGAACAACAGAGGGCAATGCTTATAGAGCTGCCTGGATTGAGCAGCCAGAGCAAGAGGATCTGTGGACCAAGAGAAAAGCAGTGAGTTAATGGCCTGGATAACAGTGTAAAGACTTATGACAGACCCACATGTTATAATCAGTCTAGAGATCTTATTAACTAGGCTAGGATGTTCATAATGAGAAGAGCAGAAAAGAGCTCCAGGAAGAATTTTAACTTCATTTGTGCACTGCATGACAAATTGGCACAGACATGGAGAGGTAAGGAGGAAGAATTACTCATTCTTTCTCTTAAGATAAGAATTAGGGATATGAAATTAAGTAATCAGATAGAAGCTTTAAAGCAAACAAATTTTCTTCTTCAAGCAACAAATAAATAATCTGTAGGTTCTCATTGCCGCAAGATGTTGGGAGATCAAAAGCATTAATGAATTAAAAACTCTAGTAGAGAATTGCATAGCATAAAAGTCCACTGGAGCTTATTAAACATAAATATTCGACTTCCAGCTTTCTGTTTCTAAGCTTGCAGGTTACTAGAAGAAAGTGTAGTCTGTCTAGGGATGACTACCACTTTATGCTTGTCCTTTTACACAGTTTCATAATGCCAGGTTACTAACAGAAACAGAATGTCAGAGTAAACATATCTACGATCTTCCCCAGTCCAGGCAAACTTTCATTCTTGTATCAGTGAAAAGAGAAGTGATAGGGCCTTAGATAGTATGAGGACCAAAAACAGAGATGACATTTATGTCATGCTTTGTCTCCCAGAAAAAAGAGCATCACAACGTTTGATTCTTTACACAGGCTGCTTGCAAGAACAGTGAAATTCTTACAGAATCTAAGCAACAAATCTAATTTTATTCCCAAATAACCCTGCAATGTAACTGATTTAGAGTTGATGGCAATATTCTCGTGTATTTGCTCCTGCTAAGTGACAGGGTAAGAATATGGAGTTCAAAAACAAAGAAAAGGGCAAAAAAGCTGAGACTTTCTGCTGTTTCTAAGAAATTTGCGCTTTATCTGCATGTGTTTCAAGTATCCCCAGCTGTTATTTGACGTAGTATCGAAAATGGCCACTTGAGGGCAATACTGGAACCTAATTTTCACAGTGTTGGGCTCTAAGCCAGACTGAAACGTCATATTAAAGGATGTATTTCCTGGGTAGGTGAGGGTCCAGTTTTATTTACATATGCGTTAAGCGTAAAAATATTTCTCTTTAATCAAGTTTCCAAATGCTTAATACACAGAGAGAGAATTTCAACGATAGTTATAGTGACTTACACCACAGCAAGCTTAACAGCAAATTGCTTTAATAAATTATGTTTACTTCACTGAACAACTGGAAAATCACTTAAGAACATAGTTTCAGCTGAGGATATCGAGGGTTATGCAAGAACACTAGTCAAGGAATTCAAATCCAGGAGGCACCTGACTGTCTATTTTGGACAAGGGAAAAGACATTGGAAGCTGCCCATGGCACAGAAGAGCCTTCCCAGGTGACACAGGATGTGGCACCACTGCAGTCTACAAAAGTGCACCCCTTCGTTAAGAAGCTGGGACCAGGTTGGGAAAGGTTAATGACAGGGCAAAGGAGGAACTTCACAATGTGCTAGACCTTGAGATAATAAAACATAAATGAGTGTTTCGCACATCAGTGAAGATGGCTCGCACAGAAGATGGCTCAGGAGTCAGCCTTCTGCTCAATACATATGCATAATGTCAATTAACATGAAGGTAATTATTGCCTACATTGACAGAAACCCATCCCTTAACAGGGACTATATGCAAAATAGAAAGATGCTATTTTATTATTAGTTTTTCAATGCACAGATCATCTAAATCAGGGGTTTCCAAATTTCCACAAGGAAATAAGGCTATTACATAAGCCATTAGCTCCCCTGCATCTCCTGAATTTTCCAACTGGGGCCCAAATCTAGAGTCACACTTTTTTTACCCCTTGGCCACACACAAAATCCTTATGCCAGCTCCAGATTTACCTTCCTTAGCTTTCTGAACTGAGATACTAAAATATGTATAATCCAGATAAAACCTGGCAGCTGGTGAGCAAAACACACTTGAACTCTTCCTGAACTGCCATTTGGCTGATGCTTATTCAGGGAGTAATTCTGAAGCCTTGCCACTATGATTAGGATAAGTAAATATGAGTTGTAAAAACCATTAGCAATAGTTTACTAACAAAGAAGCAGCTGGGAATACAGTATTATTTAATTGATTGAACTGTTTTTTCTTTGCACAGTATCTCTTAATCATGTGATAATATCTGGTAGCCAATCACCAGTCTTTTAAAAAATCTTTCCTTCATATATACCACATTCTGGTTACTTCTAACAACCATAAAGTGCTGTTGTATGCAGCAGACGAAATTTTAAACTTAATATACTGAGTTTGTGATAGCATGTTGTAACAAAGTTAACCAAAATTGTGGATGGATTTCTCATTGATATTAGTTTAAATATACTGATATGAGAAAACTTGCTGACCAGAGGCCTATATACACTGAGGAGGTCTCTAAATAACTGTGCAACATTACTGAAAGCAGCCTGACTATGATGGAAATGGAGCATATTAAATTATTCTTATCTGTTCCTCTTAAAAAAAAAACTCAAAACCCACAAAAACCAGTCACCTGCTCTTGAGGAAAAACATATGAAACACTAACAAATTTTTTCAGACCAAAGTCTCCTTTAGATGTGTGTTCAGCCCCCAATGGTACTGATGGGCCTTCTGTCCATCAGTGGAAGAACGTGTCTTAGAGATCCTTTCTGACTTTATTGACTCTTGACAGATTGGAGCTTCACAACATAACAAGCAATTTTCCTTCCTACGCAACAGAGTCGGCAGAAACTGACAGCTCAGGAGTTTTCCGGACCAAGTACCCTGGCTGGTCCAAACACACATAGTTCCACTGACTGCTTAGGGAGAGATCACTCTGCCATGTTGTACGTCCCAATTGAAAAGGTGATGGCTCCATGAAGTTTATGAGAAATTGATGTAATCTCACCCCAAAGGTTGTCAATGTTTGAATTCAGACCTTCTCCCAAGTATTGTTTTCTGACTGATGCTCTTTTGCCTGGTCCCTCTGCATGAAGCACAGAAGCCTCTTCCTGATCTTCCCAATGGTGCTTTCTGGCCACTCCATTAGTACCCAGTGTCTCACTTCTGCTGGAGACTCCCTGACTCCTCCTGGGTTCTATATAGGGCACACTGTTTATGCTGAGAAGCAGTCTTATACATCCCACTTTCCATCATTCTGTTAATTTGCATTTCAAACTATACATCACTACAAATGTGTTTTCTGTGGTGCCTATTTTTTGTTTATTTCTTGCCATTTTGACAAGACTGCCTAAAGCTGTGGAAGATATAACACTACAGCAGCAGTAACCAAATTGGAACTACTGTAGATGTGCTGCTGCTTCTATCTGTCATTTTTATTGCTTCTTCAGCTGCAAAAGTGCTCTGTAGATGGTGACTGGCCCCCTGTTCACCTCAGTGGGAATTATCTTACAGAGCCATATCACAATTGCTAATGACTACTAGCCTTTAAAGTAGTCTCTTCTTCAGCTGCAATAGTGATACTGCTGGACATTGTGCTATTTTAATAAACATAAAACAAAACTGAACCCCAAGATTTGAAAGCGAGTGACCATCAGTCTTCCTAAATGTAAACAGAGGAAAATAGATGGCAAAATTATGTATCTCTGTGGGCTTCCATAGCTTCCAGGAAGGCAAAAAGAAGAGAAGTAGGTTAATCTCAACTAATTTTGGTAATCTAGAATTTGGTATCTTCTTTAAGAATGTCATAGCCCATAGAAGGAAGCAGACACTTTTAGAAGGAGAGTCTAAATTAAGTGGGATGATTTGTTCTCTAGAGGTGTCTGTTTCTCCAATAACTAGAATTAGATAATGAGCTTAGACTAAGAACTTAATTTTGAGAGAGCTAAAATTGTAGAACATACCAAATGGCTGGCATCATCAAGAGTCCTGACAGTGACACCACAGCACTCAGACTGATCCAAAACCAAGACTGCTCCTACCCCAGGAAGACTACATGGGCAAAGTGCACCCATCCCCAGAGGGCTCCTGTAGGAGCTGATCTATGTGACCTCAGGAAATCACTTTTCTTTGTGACTACTTTTTTACTTTATTCCTTCAACTAGAAAAGAGAAGCCACAAAACTGTAGTTCCTTCACAAAGATCTGCTGTGCTGCAAGAAGAGTTTCTTGCTGAAAGAACAAAGGAATGGGAAGGCATGTTTGGAAATCCACAGGGCTGCTGAGCAAACTAGACATGGAGAGAGAAAGGTCTCTTTGGGCATCAAGAAATGTCCAGAGACAACCCAGCTAAGGCAGATGTGAAACATCCTTCTTCATAAAACTGAGACCGTGGGAGGCCCTGCCTCTCCATGGTATACTTCCTTCCCCTTTTTTAGAAGTGCCCTGACCCTCCTCTATTCCATTTTACTGCACCTAAAAAAGAAATCTAAACAAACTATTTTAAATATTTACTTTCCTTTATAAAACAGTGTCAATATACCAACAGAAGATTTTACTGCATGACAGCCCTCCCACTGCTGTCCTTTAGAGAAAAGTCCAACCTTGCCACTGCTGTCAAATGTCACTGATAAAAACGGGCTCTCAAGCAAGCAAATCCCAGAACCCTTCATAACCCGCATTGTGGAGGGCAACTCCTCTCCGCTCCGTGAGGCAGACCCCTCTCATTCTGAGAAGTGAAAGCTGTACATTAGGAGAATATTCACTGTCAGCTAGGGACTGCAAATAAATAAGCTGGAAAAGACAAGAAAGATATTAACTATTTTTCTGTTGCTGTACTTTGCCTGAAAGATGGAAAAAAGTAGGAGATGAAATGTTTTACCTTTACAGAAAAGTACTTCTTCTTGGGTGGATGCCAGACAGTGGTTTTTGAATAAATGAATGCCCGCAGAGGTGTTAAGGATGTCACAAGCACATATGCTTTGATGATGACAGAAAGGTCTTGAGCTTTAAGGCTGTCCTTGTGGCCTGGTGAAGCTGGTACCCGATTCCTGGAAAGCAATAAAAATACATAACATTAATTAAGTGCTTTTGCAAATGAGGATAATGAGCTATAAGAAAATAGTTAAATAGTGAAATTAGTGGAAATAGGAAACTAGCATTTCTTCCCCTGAGATAAGCGCCACATAGAATGAAACCAAGCAGGCTGGAGCAAAGCTTTACGTCAAGTATTTTTATTGCTTTCAGTATTTTTAAATCTCAGTTTCCATCATAGAAAACAACTGTGTTAGAAGGGAGTTATATTTGAGGGTACATAATGGTAAATGCATTGTGGGCATATTGTAGTCGTTGCAAACCGAGGACATTCAGAGTGAAGATAAAAAAAGCAGCTTAAATAACAGAAGTACATAGTCAGGGTACTCAGATTCAACACTGATTTGTAGCGAATTCAGAAAAAAAGGCCCAAACAACCCTATGGAAAGTGTGCACTATTGTTAGCACTTTCTTCAATGTAATAAAGGGACGCAAACATGTGGTACTGCATGCTTTCCCTAATGAATACCATAAACTGTATTTCCAAATACTATGAGAGATGATGACGCGTAGGAATAATCCAGAATAAATCAGCTAAACATAAAAGAATTATGCATGCTAACTTTGTCTAGGAAGTGACATGGCTTCCGTAGTCCACGCAGGAAGAATCATCCATAGAAGTAAGACAGAAAAAAAACGAACCTAAGAGAAAAATCTATTATTTAAAAGCTCATTATTTGAGGAAATCTGAGCTGTACTTGGGCATATTCACAAATGTGGTTATTACTCTGCTTGTTAAAATCTCTGAGTACCAATCTACCACACAGCAAATGCAATGTGAATATAACTACATGAATTATGTGTCTCTAAGACTGATTGCTGGTAAAAGACACAGGGCTCTTCTCCCATTTCTCTGTAATCTTTGGCAATATGTGGCCTCTCCAGGCCTCGATTTTTGCTCTCTGTTGAGCCTAATAATATCTATCTTAAAGACACCTTTACTCCCTTCTGCAGAATGGTAGATCCCCAGCGCATAAAATTTGTGAGATACTATAATGTAGGAACCAACACTTGGACAACCAGTTCTCAAGTACTTCTTGATTTTTCACTTCGGGGAGGGTCTCTATGCAAAACACACATATGTGTGTCCATGGTAGGGGCAAGGCAGGGGTGGGGCAAGAAAGAGCCCAGTCACTATGAGACACAAATATTGATGGGTGTCTTTGGGTGTTTATTTATTTATCTAGGTGTTTCTAGGTTTTCTAGGTTTTTAACTGTCTCGATATTTTCAGCCTAAACATAAGGAAATACTTCTTCACTATGAGGGTGACAGAGCACTGGCACAGGCTGTCCAGGGAGGTTGTGGAGTCTCCTTCTCTGGAGACTTTCAAATTCCCCCTGGACATAGTCCCGTGTGATCTACTTCAGGTGATCTTTCTCTGGTGGGAGAGTTAGACTAGATGATCTTCAGGGGTCCCTTCCAAGCCCTGTCATTCTGTGATTCTGTGACTCTATGCCCTCAATATAAAGACCTAGCTGTTTTAACACAAAACCTGTGCAAGCTAGTACAGAAGCAAATGCTATGCAAGTAGAGAGGTGTAACAAATCCAAGGGCTCCATCTGCTGTGGTCTCCTCTGTTGCTACATTCTGCATCCCTGACTTGCAGATGACTGCACAACAAAGCACTTGCAGTTTCAGGGGCGGGTGTCATTAGCTTACATCTGTGTGCTTGTGCTCTCCTTCCACCAGTGCCGCAGGTGGGCAGGACGTCTCTTGCCAGGGCTTTCGCTGCCCTGGGACACGTTGCTTGCAGCTCTGGCCCTTGACAGCCCAGGATGGCCGGAGCACTCCAGGGAAACAAGTGGGAGCTGAAGGTCTGAAAAAGAGGATGAGAAAGAAAGTCAGCAGAGCATTGAATGAAGCGGACACCTCCTGCTTTTAATGGGAAAATGTGTGAAATAACAATAGGTAGAGAGAAGCTACTAGCACCAGCGAAAGATGTAAAATAGCAAATGTTGAGTCTATAATAATTTTTGGATCTGCTAGCATAGAGTTTTATACCCACCAAACAACCCTTTACTCACAGGCTTAGCATCCCCTTCCTCCTTCTTCTAAATAGAAATAAATCCTTTAATTCTGGATATAGATTACCAAAACTTTGGTTTCAATGTAACCCTAATATTACAATTAATAAGGTTAATAAATTTATTTGATGAAGGACCACAAGACTTTGAGGCTATAATCATACAGACAGCCCAGTAAATAACCACATATCCTTGTTTCTAGGTTCACCATTTAAAGCTACATTTTGTAGTTACTGAAACCTGTAGAAGACTTAGTTCTGCCACTGAGTGCGGTGGGAGCAGGACTGATGTACCAGAGCCCTCAAGATTACTGAGGGCACATGACTACTAATATAATCAAAATATTGTGATGTGAGATCAGTCAATGGGTGATATGTATTTTCTGCTTTTACTGTGCTGAAAAAAAGGCACAGAGCCCTTATGTCATTATTTCATGTAGGGTGATTTTCAGTAAATCTTACGCACCTCACATTTTAAGTTCTTAACTAATAGTCAGGGAAAAGTCAAGCTGTTCACATTATCCCCAAGCCTTATTACTTATCTTTTTAATGACATACTGCATTGTGCTAATGCTGTGAATTAATTTGTATAGCTTCTCTTTTAAAGCATGCACTCCTGACTTTGGCACATGAAATGAAAAATAAAACTGAAGCTGTATTTCTGGCAATGAGCTGTGAGCAGCCATTGAAGGAAAGAACTATTCTTTTTCATATAGATCCTGTTAAAACGACATTGTGATTATCTATATTTATTGGCTGTTCATCAGCTCAGCTCAGTTTAGCCTTCCAAACTCAACTGGAATCTAAAATTAATCTGATCCTTTCCCTTACATGCACCATTTGGCAGGATTAAAAGCTTTACTAATCAAAACCAGGCACTTATTAATACAGCACCCCACGTTCAGATTACACTGTCATCAGCATCTCCATGTTCTGCTGTGCATTATAACTGACTTAGACTTTGCAAGGCACTATCTGTTTGTTGACAGTACAGAGACAAAACAGGCTACTCTCTTCCTGCTTGGCTGCGCAGTGATAATAGGATTTATTTGGTTTGTGTGGCAAGGGTTTTGAACCCAGGGGGCTACAGGGGTGGTTTCCATGAGAAGCTGTTAGAAGGTTCCCCCATGTCCGATAGAATCGTAGAATGGCCTAGGCTGGAAGGGACCTCAGAGATCATCTAATCCAACCTCCCTGTCATGGGCAGGGACGCCTCTCAACTAGATCAGGCTACTCAAGGCTTCATCCAACTTGACCTTGTCAGCCAGCGCCATGACAGATCCGCCGCTTGTGAGGGCCAAGCCCATCAGTGATGGAGGTAACACCTCTGTGATAACATATTTAAGAAGGAGGGGAACAAACCTGTGGCACAACAGCAGATGGAAGAGAGGATTGAGAATACGTGAGAGGAACAACTTTGCAGACACCCAGGTCAGTGAAGAAGGAGAGGGAGAAGGTGCTCCAGGCACTAGAGCACAGATTCTCCTGCAGGCCATGGTGAAGACCATGGTGAAGCAGGCTGTACCCCTGTAGTCCATGGGTGTCCATGGTGGAGCAGATATCCACCTGCAGCCCATGGAGGACCCCACACCACAACAGGTGGATGCCTGAAGAAGGCTGTGACCCTATGAGAAGCTCATGCTGGAGCAGGCTATGGGCAGGACTTGTGGAAAGGAAAGCCCATGCTGGAGAAGCTTTGCTGGCAGGACTTGCGATCCTGTGGGAGGATCCATGTTGGAAGACTGTTCCTGAAGGACTGCACCCTCTGGAAGGGACCCATGCTGGAGCAGTTAGTGTAGAAGGACTCACATTTGAGAATTTTGTGGAGGATTGTCTCCCATGAGAGGGATCCCACAATGAAGCAGGGAAGAGTGTGAGGAACCCTCCTCCTGAGTAGAATGAGCGGCAGAAATAACATGTGGTGAACTAGCCAGAGCCCTTGTTCCCCATCCCTCTGCACCATTTTGGGTGAGGAGGTAAAGAAAATTGGGAGTTGAAGTTAAACCTGAGAAGAAGGGATAGGTAGGGGAAAGAATTTGGTTTTACTGCTCAGTTGGTTAGAGCATGGTGCTGATAATACCAAGGTTGGGTGTTCGATCCCCGTTCGGTCCCCATATGTTGCCTGATCTAGTTGAGAGGCATCTCTGCCCATGACAGAGAGGTTGGATTAAATGATCTCTAAGATCCCTTCCAGCCTAGGCCAGTCTATGATTCTATGATTATCCTACTCTGATTTGATTGGTAATAAATTAAGCTAATTTCCCAAGCTGAGTTTGTTTTGCCCATGACAGTAATTAGTGAATGATCTCTCCCTGACTTTATCTCAACCCCCAAGCCTCCTGCTGTATTTTTTCTCTCCTGTCCAGTTGAGGAGGGGAGTGTTAGTGGCTTTGGTGGGCACCTGGTGTGCAGCCAGTGTCACTTCACCAACAGGAACAAGTTAGTAAACTCTCACTAAGTCATTTCTTTAGCAGACTTGCACAGAGAGCAAATGTGCTAAATGAAGTGGTGTTTTTACCGCAGCTGCCTTGTAGAGACACAATGGTATTTCGCTATGGCAATTTGCAATGGCCTCACAACGACTGCGCCTATGCATCACTTTAGTTACCTAACTGAAGTGCTTATATTAGCAGAATGCCATTGTTAGGCTTTGTCTTTAGGTAATGGAGAGAGAGAGAGACAGAGAGAGAGAGAGAGAGAGACCAGTCTTTACAGCACTAAGAGAAATTCCAGTTCTGAACTGCTCTCAGCAAGGGTCTGGTTTTTCATTGACTGTGCAGGGAAACAAAACTAGTTCCTTGCAGCTGCAAAAAGTTCCCAGAGTGTAAAGTCTGATCATACAGCTTTGGTGTTCAGGCAAAACCCGCATGCTTAAAACACATAAAGGCCCTCCACACTGCACAGATGACTGCGGAGATCTTTTTCTGATGTCTCTTCACATTGGTAAAAAGGCAAGACACAGATCTTTGTTGTTGCAGCTGCCTGTGAAGTTATGGAGCCAAGCCCTGCTCCCCTGTGACTTGGTACTGAAGCACATCCACCAGGAACAGCCCAGCACCATCAGACTCTGGAGTTCTAATCTCACAGCCTAGATCTCCAAACAGCAAGATCCTGATCTGTTGACCATGAGTGGGATCAAAGTCACAGAAAACCCAGTGAAGACCATGACAGTAATCCCATCTACCCCCCTTGCCAACGCTGCCAAGGGGGGCAGGCAAGGGAGAGAGACAGGTTGTCCTACCTTGATGGCCACAGCAAATAGCTGCAAGGAAGCAGAACTGTGCTTCCAGACCAAGCTCTCTATAAGATAAACACTTTTAACCTTAAGTCATAATTACATGACAATATTAACAAAACCATTCAAAGGTCAAGAATGACAGCTCTTCTCAGCTGATCAGCCAAAAGCCAAATTATGTCAAAGGTACAGGTTTTTCAGCAATTGCTTTAGTTAAAATGACCATAACGTTGAAAAATGGAAATGCACAAAACATAATTTTCTAATGTAAATGAAAGCAAATATTTCACTGAAAAGAAAAGGGCGGCAGAGAGGGACTGTTCAGCTCGTTATTCAAGAGGAAGTGTCTTTTTATTTTCAAAATATGGTTTTAATTGTGTTGCTAAGGCAACAAGTAACCAATATGGTATTAACTCACAAGACAAAATTTGAAAAGAATGAAATGAGGTTTATACCTGTAGTTACTCTTCTTAAAGGATAGTTTTAGTTGGTTTAGGGAAATAGAAAAAAATACTTTGACATTAATTTACTCGTTGTTACCCAGTGGATCATTTAGTGGAGTTAGCTATAGCAAAAAAAGTATGATTAAAAACGGGTAGGAATAGATGAAATACAGAAGTGTCCTGAAATTCTCAAATTACTGTGTTAGTATGTCCCTAAGTCATTACAAAAAGCTTCAACATAAAAAATACCACAACAAAACAACAAAACAATGGAAAACTGCCATCTCTTCAAGAAAAGGTTAAACAAATTTAAGGTGTTGGTGATCAGCATTGAGAACTAAAAAAGGTGGCAATGATCATAGCTTATTCCTCATGCTGTAGAGCATGCTGTTTGTGCAGTGCCTTGCACAATTTTGTATTAGCATTCACCTGGGAGAGAGCCCATCACAAAGTGGATGGGAGAAGGAGAAAAAGCAGCGAGACTGTCACAAAGGTACTTGCTCCTTTGACATGGCACACAGCATGTACACCATCAGGCAGAGTTAATTGGGAGCAACAGTCCCTCACTTTGGTCAATCTAGCCCTAGTAATCAATGAATACAATTATCATAATAATAAAGAGACATCAATAGTGTTGAGCTGTAACACACTCAGCTGCATCAGTTCTCATGGCAACTCTTCACCTGCTTGTGCACTGAAAAGCAGTAACAGTGTTTATTAGAGCTGTAAATTTGTTAATCAACATTATCATCAATGAAAATTAGCCTGCAGTGTGTTTACTCTTTGCTGTAATTGCTATGTTTTTCCATCTTGAAATCACTCTACAAGCTGTTGTTAATTAACCACTCCTTTTAAAGTATGTAAATAACATCAACATCTTATAATGGAAGAGGTGAGGCAGGCTCAGCAGTTGATATGCATTAGGCAGCTTGGGAAACTAAGTTAGAAAGAATCTAGCATCCTAACACAATGACCAGACTACACCCACTCTTTCAAAAAATCCAAATCTCAGTACTAGTAATTTTTGTAGCAGATGCTAAAGATCAAAAGAAAAAAAATAAAGGTGTAAAGTAGAAAAGAACATCTTCCCTTTTAAAGTGGCTATGCAGTAATTG